AACGTCAGCATTTCTCAGTACAGGGTGGGCAAAATTGGGCGTTTTCACCGTCTATCTCAATAACTAGAGGAGTTATCGAAAAACAGATATACATGTTCCGGGTTCGATTTTGGAGAAACCTCGAATGGTACAATCAAAATTTCGTTATCTTCATTCGTTTTAGAGATACAGGGAGTAATTGAAAATTTGCCGATTTCGATTTTATTTTCTGACTACTTTACGGTGAGAGGTATCAAAAAATTTCAAACGTATATTTATACAGTATGATGCGTGGCATCCATTGGCATCATCAGAAATTTTATACAGGGTGACGTTGAGAAAATACAGCAGCCAATTATGTTTTTTCTAATGGAACACCCCGTATATTTTGGCACATTTGAATAGTCCCAGGCGTTCTCATTACAAATATATATATAACCCTACCTTTTCCTTCCACAATTTCAGATATATTCGCAAAAATATATTCAGTGTGTCACATTTCTTATGGTTACACCCCCGTATCTTCTGTAAGAATAATTGATGGAAACATTAACAATCATAATATTTGATAATATGATACTTTACCCATGATTTCTAGTATGCCTTAATATTTTTGCGTTCAAAGAGATAATAAATAAGATATATATTTGAAATTGAAACGGGAACTTTCCAGCTCTGCCAAAATATACGGGGTGTTCCGTAAAAAAATTGTTCAGTATCTGGAATTCGGACATCTTCTATAAGGCTATATTTTTCAACGCAACCTACTGATTTCCTAATTGAGTAAATTATTGGTCTTATTTCTGCATCTCAAATGTCTTGATAACAATGATATCAAATCGAATAATTTCCCATTTTATTTCTCACCGAATATCCATTTATCTGGAAATTACATTCCCTACGATATTTATTTTCCACATTTGGTGAATATATACAGAGTGTCATTTTCAACCTCGATTCTGCCTGTTGATAGCATTATCCAGAAATATCGATGAATCCATAGCTGCTGGTGAGCAGTGTTATCATTGGAGATGATCCCACTTGGTCCATGACTCCATGAGTGTATCATTTGTATCTTTCTGACAGTTGCGAATTTTTGAATCCTATCTCAATTATTTTTACAGAAGATACGGGGGTGTAACCATAAGAAATGAGACACACTGAATATATTTTTGATAATATATCTGAAATTGTGGAATGAAAAGGTAGGGTTATATATATATTTGTAATGAGAACGCCTGGGACTATTCAACTGTGCCAAAATATACGGGGTGTTCCATTAGAAAAAATATAATTGGCTGCCGTATCTTTTCAACGTCACCCTGTATAAAATTTCTGATGATGCCAATGGATTCCACGCATCATACTGTATAAATATACGTTCGAAATCTTTTGATACCTCTCACCGTGAAGTAGTCAGAAAATAAAATCGAAATCGGCAAATTTTCAATTTCCCCCTGTATCTCTAAAACGAATGAAGATAACGAAATTTTGATTGTGCCATTCGAGGTTTCTCCAAAATCGAACCCGGAACATGTATATCGGTTTTTCGATAACTCCTCTAGTTATTGAGATAGACGGTGAAAACGCCCAATTTTGCCCACCCTGTACATTACATTATTTATAGATGTCATCTCTACAACTTTTATTTGAATGATCTGAGATCAATCATAATGGAACATGTTACTGCCCTATACAGGGTGTCCGGGAATTATGCGCAAAAAATCAAGACGCTCATTCTACATGATGAAATGAGAATTTCTATGTATATGTACGTGGGTCCAGAGATGCATAGTTTTCAACATACAGTGTGTTGGAACTTCTAAACAAGATCGTTTTTTTATGAATATCTCAAAAGTCCTTCTTCCAATTTTCTTGAAATTTGGCGATGATATTCTTTGTCATGAGGGGCTGATATAGCCATAATTCAATTGGAATTATGAAATCCAGTGGCGTCCCGGGGGGCAACCTGTGGAATATTATTGTCAATAAAATGTGCGCCACTGATTTTTTTGAATTCAGTATCTTCATAACCTATGGACCAACTAAAAATACAAAATTTTGGACTTGAATTATTTTGATAATTTGCTTCATTTCCATGGAAAAAAATAATTACCAATTTATCGCATAAATTTGTGCCAAAAAATTCCTTAAAAAACTGAGGTAAAAATGAATGCGGCATCAATGTCCATAGATAGAGAATAAGTATGAAGATTCATTTGCTTCAAATATTCCTTGATACATGTTTGACACACTCTACACTCTGTATATTGAGAACTATGTATTCTCGGTCCAGGAAGGCGTAGTTTTCGATAATACAAAGTGTGTCAAACATGTATTATAAAATATTTGAAGAAAATGAATCTCAATTCTTATTCTACGTCTATGGACATGGATAACACATTTAATTTCACCACTTTTTGTGAAGCAATGTTTTGCACAAATTCATACAATGAATTGGTATTTATTTTTTTCCACGGAACAGCAGCGGAATTGCAAAATAATTCATGAGACTAAAATGTTGTATTTTCCGTTAATCATTAGGATATGGAGAAAGAGAATTTGAAAAAATCAGGCGCTCACATTTTATTGACAAAAATATTCGGTAGGGTGCCCCAGGGACGCCACTGGATTTCACAATACTAATTTAAAAATGGATAAATCAGCCCCTCATGACAAGGAATATCATAACCAAATTTCAAGACAATTGGTGAAAGAATATTCGAGATATTAATAAAAAAACGATTTTTTCTAAAAAGTTTAACACACTGTATCTTGAAAACTATGCAATTCCGGACTCAAGTATATATGAAATACATAAACAAGACACACAAAGTCATCTTCATTGTGTGTCTTGTTTATGAATCTATTCACTCCACTTTGAGATACCATGGACTTTCACCATAGATTATATATGAAATAAATTTCATATTTTCTCATGCATAATCACCCTCTTGATTTTTTGCGCATAATTTCCGGACACCCTGTATAATATAAGCCCATCATCATCCAATAGACAATATCATTGTTTAATTGGGTGATGATTGGGCTCATACAAACCCTAAACATGTTTTGTTACGATTGATCTCTCATCATTCTAATGATAGTTGTGGAGATGACTTTGGGTTTCTATCCATGTATACTATATCACTTCACTTTGAGTTACCATGGACTTCTTCCAAAGACTGAACATTTTTGTAGAATGAGGATATAGTCGCAAAAACCTCTCAGAACGTTCCAGCGGTACTATGACGTCAGGAGAAATTCCACAATTTCCTGTATTGTAGAAGAAGTTTCACTGCAGGTAATTTGGTAGAACCAACAAACAAATTCAATGCCAGAAGTTATATTTCGACAACGCATAACTTAGGCACATCTTTACTCATTTTCAATCGATGATTTTTATAACCATTGCCTTCTGATTAACATTGAGTCAATCACATTTTCATAGAATTAGGAATATTGCCAACCATGTAGGAGGTGGTTCGAGTTTGATCAGTTTCGACAAGAATTGGGCAAACTCTGCTCGCTATTATTCTATCGCTTACTAACGTGATTGTATCACATGTATAATCAATTCCACACTCCTCTCACTATTCATTGAAGATTCATTACACATGATCATCAACTCATGTGTCAGCTCAACTATCGAAACTTGCTAACGTTATACCCTTCTGATTCACCCATTTCCGCAACTATTCTGATCGCAACATATCAAGTCAGTTATTGAAAAACCGTTCAAAGAGTAACGACACTCTGAATACACAACCAGGAATATTGGAATCTGTGGGTCCTGATCCAAAAGTGTCATCATGACTGTAAGGATAGTCTTGACCCATCAGTCCAGTATTATTATCAATGTCATATCATGACAGTGTCGATAACATTCTACATAATTGCAGATTCTGACTATTTTACTGTACGAATCTCATAATCGATGATCTTTCGTGTGGGTAAACTGCACACATGTCTCTGAGATTCAGATACCAAATATACTCTAGAGTGACATGAGCCGATTCAGAGGAGAGTCATCATGATACTACTACCACCAACGAATCATTGACCGTTTCTCTCGAATTAATTACCTTTGCCAAACTCCGCTAGCTCAAGCGACTGCTGTCCTAACATTGACACGTAAAACATCATGTTTCGAAATGTATTTTTCATATTACATCAGAATTCTTCTGAAAATCCTTGCGATTGTCCACTGGAATGTATATCTCCAGACAATCACACTCTGGCAACAATCTTGGGCAGTTTTTGTCAACATTTGTTTCTTTTCAGTGCCCATCAATATTATTGATTTTCTATCAACATGAGGTGATTGAGAAGAAAACTGGTTCAAGTCCTAACCTCAGTGTTTGTTCCTAATTGACCATTCTCAAATACGGTTTCTCGAAGGGCACACAAACTATATGTTGGATTACCTTTGATGAACACCCTGCCAACATTGGCAAAATAGAAATTGATTCACCAAACAAAATCTTTTTTTTTTGTGTTTCAACTCGTGCTTGAGGAAGAACGATCCCACTACTTCTGGTTTAATATGACAAAATACAATGTTTGGAATGTTTTTTTCCCAACGACCCATCAGATGACGTGATTTTGGAATGATGGATACAGTCTTCATCATTTCATCTTGATTCCTTCTTGGCTCTATCGTCAAGAAATTCGATCGGAATTTTCCTCGAAAAACTTTTGGATGAACGCTGATTAGCCCTTATGGCTCAGAGATGTCAGTTATATTCTTCATCAAAGAACTTTACGTTACAGAAGAGTCAGTGAGAGGTTCGAGACAATAGTGAATCACTTTTTCATGCATTATGATATGTCTGTTCATATTATCTCATCCCTCAATCTCTCGAAGATGGATATAGTTGAAGCATCCAAAAGATGGATTTCAAAACAAACCAAGTCAGTCTGTACATTCGACAAAAAAAAAACGTGTAACGTGATGAGAAAGTTGTAACACTCGGAAATTATGATATTCCTGTCTCAATTGAATATCCAGGGTTCAACATTTTGTTAGTATCAGGCTTTTCAGGTCCTGCTACCACTTCGAATGCATTATTTGAATATTTTATTCTTGAGTTTTGAATCTACAATTTCACATTTCAATGGAAATGTATTATGCTTGGAAGCAGTTGCAATCGAATTCAAATAGGTGAATAGTACTATAAATCAATGGTCCTAGTCCTCTTCTGTCCCTCCGCCCTGCGCGTCACTGGACATCTCGTGCGGTCGAAGAATGGCCCTGACGGTCTCGAAGTACTTCTTGAAGCCAACCTTCGCGTACAACCCTTTGGAAGGATCGTTTTCTGGACGGATCACAACGAATGGTATGTAACCACGTTCTCTCACCTGAAAAATATACAGCCACGTAAAATAATTCATACACACAGTATTTAGATGGAACATATTCTATCACTCTATGGAATTACTTTACTTCGAAGCAACATATATGGGTTATTCATGAGGAGACTGAGATACCCAAATCGAGGAGAGTTGACGTGTAAATATATGAAAACTTTTTCGCCCATTCATAACTGAGAGTTTTACATCTACAGTTTACATTTCAATGAAAATATATGACTGAAAGCAGTTGCAATCGAATTCAAATGAAATGATTATTCAATGGTCCTAATTCTCTTCCATCCCTCCGTCTTGTGGGTCATTGAACATCTCATGCGGTAGGAGGATGTCCCTGACAGTCTCGAAGGTATTATGTGGAATTGCCATATGATCTTGGTGGCCGATATTTCAGACAAATGATTTATCGTTATTGGCTGAAGCTTGAAAAGGACATTTTTGTATTGGAACTATTTATATTATAAGTGGAAAATCCAGATTCAGACTTAAGAAAGTTTCAATTTTATATCCCGAGCTATCTTTTGTAGATCACAAATTTCATCATACTCATAAGGATCAGGCAAAATGCCATAGGAACTGCTCTTCTATTTGAACTGCACACTTTGACTGGTTCGTTGAAAAAAAAAAGAAAAAAAAACCTTCGAATGAATTTTCAATTTCGTCCTAGCTGATTAACTCTGTCTCTCGATAGAAATTGACAGGAAAAAAAAGTTGTGAGAAATAAACACAGTGCAGATTGGTTGCGAATTAGGAATATAACCTAGTTTTAATAAAAACGATAATGAAATAGTAGGCCATGTATTTCATCATGTGACGAATTTTCATGCCCATAGATGGTGATTCATCATATAGGTTATGTCATCGAGCGGGCAATGAGCTTAATTTGTTCTTGATAAACTTCTGCAAGTGATAAAGATGCATTTACGCCTTTTTCAATAATCTTTCAATATTCCTAATGTTCACCCTCGTGAAGGTTTTACTGCTATGTATTCTTACGTTATATCATATAAAAAAACAGGGCCTTCTTCAATAATTCTTGAGAAAAATATCTATCGAAACCAAACATCTCTTATTGTGAGTGTTAGATACCGTTATCGTGGACACGTCAGCGGGGTGGTGACAAAGACATTATATAAGTGTTTGGGGTATGTTAATGTCAATGAGATTATTACTCATTCTATTGGTGCCTTTCAGTAGTAGAGTATCGTGCGGAATATATGTATACCATTCGATTACCAAAGTAGTGTTTTAGTGTAGTGTCTCTGAGCCCCTAACATCAGAAGTGGTAGTAACTCAGCCTTACTCATCATGGGTCGGCATGGAAAATGAGCACGTTCATCATCGGGAAATTCTGAAGATAGCAGAAAGAAGAAAGTATCGGGTCGGCATGGAAGACGATCACGTTCAACGTCGAGAAATCCTGAAGATAATAGAAGGAAGAAAGTACCGGGTCGGCATGGAAGACGATCACGTTCAACGTTGAGATATTCCGGAGACAACAGAAGGTAGAAGGTGACGCGTAACCCTGGAAGTTATGTAGGAAATAGTCATTCGGCAGGAGTGAGTCAAAGAGCTGCTCCGATTTCTCAACTCGAGGATAAAACAAAATTGATCACAACGCATCCTTATTCGCATGGCAAGAACATACTGTTATATATCAAGCCTTAAGTAAACTGAAGGGTACAGCAAGAATATGGTACGATAGTTTGATAAACAACGAGATAGATTGGCCAGGTTACGGATGGGAGGATTGGAAAGGAAAGTTGGTCAGCACCTTCAAGTCTAGAAGGGACACTTATAGTCTATTTATGGACATAGCAAACCACAAACCTACGGATGGTTGTTCATTGTATGAATTTTTTTTTCAGCACCTTGCTGAAATTGATAAATTAAATTTGAATTTCTCGGGCGAGGATAAAGTTTCTTTAGTATTGGGTTCAATCAATGATAGCAATATAACTTCAGCAGCCGAGGCAGCCAATATTACGGATATCAACACCTTGGGTGCCTATTTGAAAAATAAGACATTCTCAGTTACAAAACTCCCGAGAGAGACAGAGAAAAAAATAACGATTATCCGAAACAAAGATTTTTCATGAATACACCTAGTACTAGTAAGTTTGAATTTGGAGATATATCAGAGTATAAGTCAGAATTATTTGATAAAAAAAATATTTCGAGAAAATAAGCTACAATGCGGAAAATGTTCTATCTTTGGGCACGAGGATAATAACTGATGTTTGGGATAACCCTAAGAAGTCAAGGAGATCGGTACGTGGAGAAGAATGAAGAAGTTGTAGACGTTACCAAACTGAGGCGAAAAGCACAGTAAAATATTGAAGTTTATGAAAAGAAGCAGGAGAAGTCGTTCAATAGAAAAAGGAAAGCAGCAAATATTGTCAAGGCAGGTGATCTGGTTCTCACAAGAATATCCAGTATACCTTCGAATAAAGGCAAAAGCAAGAAGTTGGTTGAGAAGTTCAAAGGACCGTTCAAGGTCACTGAGGTACTGCCGAATGACCGTTATCGAGTGAAAGAAGATATACATGCAAGCCGATCCAAAAAAAAACGTTGCGTATGGAGGAGTAGTATGTTCAGAAGACATGAAGATGTTCAAACTACGTTGATAGTAAGCAGGTACGAACCAAAAAGTTTTAGTCTGAAGTCGACTGGGTGTTGAGACAGTTGAGGTATGATTGCCGTTACACTGGCAAAAATCAGATCCATCAGGTATAAAGGCCTATGGAACACCAACTCGATCAGGTATCAAGGCCTGATCAAAGAGCAAATCCATCAGGTATAAAGGCCTATGGAATACCAACTCCATCAGGTATAAACCCCGACTGTTAGAGCGGTGGTGGTGACAAAGACATTATATAAGTGTTTGGGGAATGTTAATGTCAATGAGATTATTACTCATTCTATTGGTGTCTTTCAGTAGTAGAGTATCGTGCGAAATATATACCATTCGATTACCAAAGTAGTGTTTCAGTGTAGTGTCTCTGAGCCCCTAACATGAGGAAAACAGTAGTCATCTGGTTTTGTCAACTATTTCTTTGTTCTCAATTCCTATCTAACAAAAATGTACTAAAGATCAATTCACATGAATTCAGTTGGAAGTTAGTTATCAGATAGATCGAGAACAAAAATACATTCGAACATTTTCGTTCCATATTTTTACATTGAACTGGTCGAACTGTGCCGTACAAATTGAGAGTTTTTCCAATGGCATTCTGTCAGATCTTTCTCATTCTGATTACATATCTCTATAGATGTTATCACGAAGTGAACTTCTTTGATATAACAATAAGACATGATTTTTTTCTTGAGTCCAGATCTATATTTCATTTCTTCATATGTCATCGTGTATAGTATTGCTGTCAAATCTGAGCAAATCATGATGCATTATTAATGAAATATTGGTCATCAAAATTATATTATAATTTCACATAATACACTGTATTTTCATAATGGATGGCCAAAAGGGGTTTTTATATATTTTCATCAACTCGTCTCGATTTTTCCATTTCACCATTTGACTATGTGAGTCTACTCATGAATCACCGTGTATATTTATACAGGCTGATTGACGGTGGATAGCACTATAGACATATCTGGTGAACTCAAAATCGGATCACTTTGAAAATTTCATAGACGGCATATTCGAACATTCTCTTCCCAACTTGAATATTTTGGAAAATGCGTTGTGGCTCAAATTGAGAAGTAAAAACAACTTTGAGTTTTCATTTGTAATTCCTAATACCGGGTGAGTGGAATTCGAGTAGATGCATGAGGATCTTGGAAACAGTAAGAGCTGAAGAGAGGGTTGAATTGAGTCATATGACTTCATCAGAATAGGACCCAACTGGCAAAATGGGATTCTGAAAGAACGAAATTATGGTACAACAGTCGGATAGCGTTGTTTCAAGGATTGTTCGATTTCATTAGGCCTCATGTTGCGATAATTTTGTTTTTTAAAAAAAAAAGTGTTGTATTCAATGATTTTATAGTGAATTCCACAATATCTATAACGAATCATACGATCATTTCTCTTGAAATGATATAATACTTCATGAGAAAGGTTATACAATACATATCAAAAATATAATTTCATTAGACGTGTATACCTATTGTATGAGAGTTTCATATTATACCGTATAACAGGTAGATAGAATATCATGAAACAGTTACTCAAGCTTCACTAATTGAAACTGTATAATGATATATAATACATATTTTATAGCATTCAATTTCAGCAGTTAACTTCGAATGAGCTTCTCTTCTTTATAAATGCCTTATATATAAACAGTGTGTGAAAAAATGAATTCGTTCCAAAATCTGCGTTATAAGACTGGAGTGAATGTAACCGCTCTTTCGCATCAGAATGTTTCATCCGATTGAACTGTGAATTCTTAGTGAAAATGAATTGATCGACTCATTGAACGAGTGCGAGGTGAGGATGCGAAAGATTTCTCAAGTGTTGTTTTGTGCTCCTAGTCGCACACAACCACGTTGAACAACCGGATGATACCATAATACAGATATCTCTTTAACCTTCACAAACTTTTTGAAGCATGGTTGTCACGTTGACCTGTGAATTTTTCACGGTTGAAAGGAAATTTCGCTCTGAGCAGATCAATCTCGTTCATTCAAGATGAATTGAATGAGTATAACTATTGTTTCAGATTCCTGGAACTTTGTTTCTTCGGTTGTGCAAATAAGAATAGAAATTATAAAACCTAGTTATCCCAATATATTCTGACGGAATTGTGTCTGGGTATGTTTTGAAAGCTGACACATCGCATTGATTTGTTTTCATATCTGACCTTCGTAGAGGGCGCTAGTGATATGGTTCGTATCCCGAGTAGTTTCAAACATGAATTTTTTCAAGTTCAATTTTTCAATCCAAATTTCATATCAACTTGAACATCATTCGATTCTTTAACTGAAATGTACTAGCAAATAAAATGTATATCGTTCTCAAAATATTC